TGTGTTGATGGGCGAGACCCTACGGGTGAATATCTCGCGCATGATAGTTGTTTATTTAAAAGTGTGCTGTTATGTATACCTGATTGCTCCCTAAGGGAGAAGATAATCATGGAGCTTCATGGTAGAGGCTTGGGTGGACACTTTGGGAATGACAAAACTATGGTATGCGATGAGATGTTGATCGCCCGATGTTGAACTTGCTAAGTATCTAAAGGTCACACACAAAATACAGGTATTTATACTCCTCTTCCTGTTCTAGATGCCCCATGGGTTGATATTTCTATAGATTTTATACTTGGACTTCCATGTACCCATGAGGTATGGACTCTATTTTTGTTGTTATTGATCGATTTTCCAAAATGACACATTTTATTCCTTGTAGAAGAACTATGGATGCTACACATATCGCGAATCTCTTTTTCAAATATATTGTAAGGCTACATGGTGTTCCTAAGTCTATTACATTTGATCGGGATACAAAATTTTTAAATCATTTTTGACGCACTTTATGGAAGTGCATGGGAACCAAACTTCAATTTTATAGTGCCTATCATCCTCAAACAGATTGGCAGACCTAAGTAGTGAATAGAAGCCTTGGTGACCTCTTGAGGAGTATTGTTGGTGATAACATATCTCAGTGGGACTTCGCTTTGCCTCAGGTTAAGTTTGCTTACAACAGTTCAATAAATCGATCTATAGGAAAATCACCATTTGAGATTGTTAATAGGCGGACGCCTAATCATGTATTGGACCTAATGCCATTACCCATGCTAGGCAAGATAAGTGATTATGCCAATGCTTTTGCTGAGCATATTCGAGTTTTGCAAGCCAAAATCTAGAAGAAAATTGAATAGAGCAATGGAAAGTATCAAAAATCCTCAAATGAGCATAGAAGAGATAAGATTTTCAAGGAGGGTGACTTAGTAATGGTGTATTTGCGAAAGGAATGGTTTCTGTTGGGAACCTATAATAAACTCGAGTAAAAAAAATGGATCCTTGCCGCATCTTGAAGCAATGTGGGAACAATGCATATAAGGTAGAATTACCAAAGGCATTAGATATCTCCCTAATATTTAATGTTGCTGACTTATTTAAGTTTCATGGAGAACCTCTAGAAGTCACAGAAAATGTAGTTGATATGATGAAGAAATTACCAAGAAAGAAAGATGATGAAATTGAGCAAGTTTTGAAGACAGGAAGCTTTCAAACTCAAAAGGGATCCTATCACCAATTTCTAGTAAAATGGAAGGGCATGCGATACTCTGATAGCACATGGATTTTTGAGCCAGAGTTCAAAAGAGTGGATTCAGACTTATATCACATATATACTGAAGCCAACTCGCCGGAGTCGAGTTCCTTTCAACTGGGGGGAATGATGCAGCCATGCCCCTTCGTGAATTTAGAAGAGAGTTATCTTTATCAACAATAACCAACTTGGGAGGACTTTTTGGGTAAAACATGAGAGGGAAAACGTGGCTATCTAGAAGCCCGTGGATATGAGAGAGAGAAAATAAGGATAGGTGTAGAGAGAAGCTTTTTATTAGTTATCTTATTTTAGTCTATTTAAAGGGATATCTTCTTTCATGGTAAATCAGTCTATGAATTGAATAAAAATTGGTCTCTTGAAATAGATTGTTTTGGGGTGGATTCCCTTGCAGACCTTTGAGATATGGAATTTTTCTTTTAACTTTCTTTTTTTTTATTGTCAATTTTCTGGTTTTATTCTCTCTCTGCATCACCATCTCTTTAGAATTGTCCAATATTGTATTGAAATCACCCAAAACTATCCAAGGACCCTTGGTAGCTGTACATATATCTCTCATCTGACCCGAAATAGATGATTTTTGAACAATCGAGTTAAAAGCATAGACACCCGAAACAGTTAAAGTGCATCCATTGCATAACCGTGTTGCCTGGACAATTATCATCTGATAATTGGTGTTCAACACATTGACTAAAAATATGCATGGATTCCACAAAACCATGATTTGTGATCTACCGTCTATTTCATTTGCCACTACATTATCATAAAAACCAAGTTTTCTAGCCCAACTCACAACCAATTCGGAAAGGAATTTAGTTTCCAAAAGAAACAAAAGCCCAGCATTGTGATTTTTAATTAACCCAAGAATATCTGATATCCTACCAAGGCCTCTCAAGCCCTGAACATTCTACGAACTAATAGACATAAAAAAACTAATGATCGGAGAATTTACATATGGAAGAAGACTTCCCTCCACCAGATTGCACCTCGTCCTTCAAGATGCATTGTACCTTTATTGATGCCTTTTTGTTCCTAATTGACCTTTAAGCTCCACCACCATCAACATTGTCTGGATTTTGGGTATCTGTTGACTCCGCATCATTCATAGAAGCCTTTGAGGGCCTCACATCAGCAACAACAACACCCTTAGCCTGAGGCAACTTCACATCCTGAGTAGGAACATTTGAAGTTTTCACATCAATATTAATAGTTGAATATTTACTATATAAAATTCAAACAAACGTTTAAATATCTAGTATTACAAAAATAGATATTTATATTAAATAAATATTCACAGTTAGCGCATGGCAAAAGTAGAGTTCAATTTCATTTGAGAAATGCCTTATATCGCATTAGACTATGCTTTGATGAGGGAAAGGGTTTGACATGTATTTCTCATATTGAAATGTGTTGGGCAGTAGCGTTGGTTTAGCAGCACCTGTTCTCAACGGCGCGTTCATGCAAAATGGCCGCAAGAAGTAAATATCCACTCTTGAGGATACATTGCAATCGTATAATTTTGATTTCCCAAAATTTTTCATGTTCCTAGGAGAGTGTACTATCCTTCCGTGGGGCAAAACCCAAGCTAGAAATAATATTTAGATCCCAAATTTTAGGGATATAATATCTATAACTCAAAGACAACTAGCACTCTATGGCCCTAAAGAAAAGACGTCCCAAAATTTAACACGAACTGTCCAATTTCTGGAGGGAAATTTTTAGATAGTTAAAAACTCAAAATCCAAATTTTATTTCTTAAATAATAATCTCATGAGACTTAGATGGATCCCAAAATATCTGATAAAAAAGAAATCTCCCTAATCATCTATTTTGCCGGAGGGAGTTGTTCTGTATTATTCTTCGCAGGAACATGCAATATGCCTGAGGTTGTATATTGTCAGACCATTTATTAACTAGCGTATAACAAAGTCAGAATTTTTCCTCGCCATCAAGTTTTCAACCTAAGTGGATAGGGTTGTGTCAAAAATTTCCCGATTTTAACCTCTCTTAACTATACATTCCTAGCAGCTCTGGAGTATACTGTATAACAACTCCGTCGGGCAAAATAGCTGCTTGGGGTTTTTTTGATCCGGAAGCCATTCAAATATCAAAAGATGATCATTTTAAAGAAAAAAAATGGTTTTTTGAGTTCTGGATCTTTCCCTCCAAAAATTGGACTTTCCATTCTATCTTGGGAAATCTTTATCTTTTAGGTATTAGGAGAATGAGAGTTGAATTTTTTACTTTGAAGTTAATTGCAAGGTTCTAGAGATTTTATCCCCAAATTAAAAAAAATTCAAAGCTTGTGCTTTCCCCAAGTATGCTGCATAGAAGCATGAAATATTTTCATCTCTAGCAAATAGGGGCATACTTCTTATCATTAAGTTGCACTTCACAGATCGTATAAAATAACGTGAGATCGATAGAAATATTATAAAAAACAATATAGTGAATGAAAAAATATGACTGAACATGGTATAATCATCATAACTGTAAGTAAAAAAATATGATTAATATTATTATAATAAATTATAGTAATTTTAATTATGGGAAAAATATGGTAAAAATATTTCATCATTTTAATATTTCTAATTATAGTTTAATAATTATTACTATCGATATATATTATAGTCTTACCATTATCTGAATTATATGTTAGAAGTCATAATCAAGAAACTTATAAATTCAGTAAAAAAATTATCTAAGAAATAAAATAAATATGTGAAATAGATAATAATACTTTTTATTTATATAATATAAATATATAAGTATGATTATATGATTACATGTTTATATTTTTTTAATTATGATTCTAACTATTTGGGTAATAATTTGATAGTCATTAATATATTCTTGATATATTATATTATAAATTTGCATAATAATATTAATCTCTATTAAAAAATTAATTGTATTCATATTAATTATTATTCATAAATAATATTATAAGGGTGCGGTTTGTACAGAGGAGCCTAGGCTCTAAACAGTCAAATAAGAGCCTACCTTCGAATGGTATGGAGAAGTGTGGTTTCAATATTGAAAATCTTTGTGATAGCCTTAAAATATATTTTCATATTTACTTATAAAGTTTAAAGCTTCAAAAATAGTGTAGATCGATATATCTATGAAAACTTGAAAATTTAAAATATTGACGGTCAAAAAATACGTTACAAAATACACTATTTTCAAAACTTGCAATCCATTTTTCTCATGTCCATACATCTTGATGTCGAGATGATCAATTTGAAGATATTTGGACACCAAAACAACTTCTTCTAGTGAAATTTTTGAAGTAGGCTCAAATTTGATAGTTTAGAGCTCTATATAAACTTTCCCATTTTATAATACTGGGGAATTTTTATTTAAAATGATTTATCTAAATATCATCCGATGATTATTTTCATGGAAAAAAATTTAGATTTTAAGTTCTTAACCACCTTTATATTGCGCTTCAAAAATTGGATGGTTGATATTCAAATTTTTTTTTTGGAGGCACACAGAACGTAGTATTTTGAAATTGTTTTACTTTTCCCCCCTTGAAGTTGTTTATTGGGTTCTAGACATTACATCCCAATTTGTAGGTGAAAAAATTCTCTCTCCATGAGTTTTATCTCTAGGGAGCAAACACACAGCGTGATTTGGCGGGAGCAACAAATGTTTTCACTTCAATAGAAATACTCTTGAACGGTAGAGCGGACCGCGCTGCTTCCCCCAACGCTCCAGGATAGCCAAAGGCGGTAAAACGGATTTATGCGTCAATAAGTAGTATATGCAAACGTCACTATGTTTTACTTTCTAATTGCCTGCCGGTACCAGTACAACGAAACTAGCTAAAGCTGGAAACTACTTTGTTTTCTATTCTATAAAAGCTTGCGATCTGAATTCCAAAGGGAAGGTACAAATTTTCCCGGTCTTTAAATCACTCGTATATCAATTACTACTCAAAACAACTTGTCGTTTGAAAATCGAAGTGGTGCGCGCTTCTTCCGAACCCCTAAAGAGCCAAGATGTTGCAGAACAAAGCCTTCGCCAAGAAAACAAGGCATGGCAGAGTAATGAAGGTAACTCTCTAAACCCTAACCCTAATTCTTCTGACGTTTCAGTTTGATCACTACATACTGCAAAAGCATGGCTTTTTCCTGTTTTCTTTCCCTATGAACTAATATTATCAGAGAATTAAGTTGCAAACCCTACTTACCCGCTCTCCTATCCTTCCAGAATTGTTCTCATGCACTATTTTTTGCATTGACTTGGGATTTTTTCCATTTGTTTTTCAAACAGATTGTGAGAGAACATTACTTAAGAGATGATATCTATTGTGGAGCTTCGTTCTGCAACGTATGCGACACTTCTTCAGCTTGTCTGAGCATCTCGGCGTCACCAATTCTGATTGTTGACACTAACGTTGTTCTCCACCAGGTGCTCTATTTTACTAATTTTTATCAATAATTGTCATTGTACTAGTATTTATGGTGGATGTAGCCTCACTGTCTTATTTGAGTCGCTTCTAATTTTTATTTTTTATCGTAGATTGATTTACTAGAGAATGCGGCAATTTCTGGTGTGGTGGTTCTATCGGTGGTATTGGACGAGGTGAAGAACAAGAATCTTGCAGTTTATAATAGGCTTCGGACACTGTGTGGGAATCCTGCGAAAAAGTTTTTTGTTTTCTCTAATGAACACCACAAGTAAGTTTATGGTTCGTTGAATTTTATTTCTTTGACTTCTTCATTGGCAATTTTTTTTTCAATCAATCTCGACCTATTTAAGATGACTACTATCTCACTCATTGGTTCAGATATCCTAATTATATATTCAAAAGTGTTTCTTGGTGAACCAGATGCAAGCGACTGTAATATATGACCGGTACTTCAAAGAAATTTATTGGAGAAAATATATTGTGCAATAAATTAGCCTGCCAGGTCTCATTAGTAGTTGGTTTACTTCGAACTTCTATTAATTTAGAGAACATATCCACTTTTTTTGGCTAGACTTCTGGCAGTGAATTTTTGAAGAAGGAATGATATGACAGTTATTTTCTTTAAATTTTCAATTAGAAAGGGAAAAATATAGTATTGAACATGTGTCGATTGTGATATATGAAAATTCCTTTGAATCCTTCAATGAACGTTCATTATAATATTCATTATTTCATAATAATTTATCAAAAATCTTCATTATTTTATAATCTGTGTTTGTATAAGGGGATCAACTGCTATAATTTTTCATTGCAGGGATACTTATGTGAAAGCAATGGTAGGGGAAAGCCCAAATGATCGCAATGATAGAGGTAAGTCTCATCTTATAATGGTATTAAATATTGGTCAGGATTTTACCGGGTGAAGCATGAGGGTGATAGTTCGAATAGAAATGACTTCAACTGTCTGTGTTGATACTTCAATTTTTAAATTTTGATTGCTAAATGTCAGAGCAGGCACAATGCATTCTAAAACCTTTAACATAACAAAAAAAGAATTCTAACATGTTAACCACTTCAGTAGTTTGGTATTCTTCTCACTAATGCGAAATTGTGGTGGAGGCTCAACCTTGCTGATCTAATATTGGAGTCCGGACTCTGCAGAACTGTGAATGGCTTGCGAATTTTATTCATTATCTTTTTTCTTGTTTGGCATGCTTTCATGCGTGTGAAAACTTTGAAGACTAGATGGCCAAACTTGGGATATTTTCTATTGGATTTAATATTAAGGCGCACTTAATAAATGACTTGATAGACTTGAATTTGGATTTCTTTTGGTGAATGATCAAAATATGGTTTTGAGTCAATAATTTAGAAGGTGTTCCTTTCTTGACCATTGCAATTAGAAGGTGTTCACTTGGCAATTAGGGGAAAAGAAGAATAATAAAAAGAAAAAAGAGGTTTTCGTACCTCCATCGTTGAGGTTGTGTGTTCAACTTAGCTTATCTAGTTGTTCCTGTCCTTCATTTAATGAAATCATAATGAAATAATAAAAGTTTAAGGAAAAGATCTGTATACTTGAAATCAGATTTTTAAAGCTCCAAATCAGTGTATACATGGACATGGTTCCATGAAACTCCTTTTTTTTTTTTTTATGTTTACCTTGTTTGCAGACTGAGACAAATCTTGATTCCTACATGTTGCGGTGAATGCCCCACTCAAACGAACCAATTCCACAAATACTGACATGCTGAGCACTGCCAACGGATTTCAAGAATTCAAGATGTCCAAGAACAATATCCATGCAGTAGGAAGCACATAAAAGGAACAAAAATAAAGAAATGGGATTCAATAGAAGTAGAAACCAAAGGCACATACCTGATTTATGTGGTTCACCGAAATTGGGCTAAATCCATAGGCAATCCAGCTAGGATGTATTCAATATTAAAGTAGAAAAATTTTGCTCAAAAAACAATATTAAGGGAGAAAAAAAATTTACAAGTTTTTTTAGGTCTCACATAGATTATCTCAGTAGCTTACAATGGCAAAGAAAAGTAGAAAACCAATTCCTTTTTTTGATCTCAAAACATAACCATCAAATGATCCCTTTCCTTGACATCATTGCCTGAGTCCATAACTACAAGGAAAATGCTTATGGGTCTGGTCAAATGCAAGGGAACAACAATGGTTAGGTTTTGCCAATGGGTGAACAAAACATGCACTCTCTTTTACCCTCAAACTCAACCTCTGTCTATATGTTTTCTCTCATTACAAAATGCCTTAAAACGGTTCGTATTTAAAAGTGACTTTACAGTGACCCCAATTCCCTTAAACAAATATGGATATACACATGGAGTCTTTGTACTTCTTTATTGAAAAAGGCTACTTATGTAATGAACTTCATTTGTGCCCTACTATGGCAGAAAAATGTCGTGTTTTGGTACTTAAAATGGGATCTGATTATTCCATCTGATTGTGCTGATGTTTTCCAATTCAGTTGTGGGGCATTGTATGTGACATATGATTCACTATATTGATTCACTTGGACAAGATCCTTTGGGAAGCAATGCATATGGATAATCTTTAGAAGTATACTGAATAACAGATAAAATAATAATCTATTAGGATGGCTGTTGGCTTGGCTTGATCGGACCACAATTTCGTGCTTATTGTGTTTTTCACTGAAGGGAAGGTTGCTTATATGGGAAGACTGGGGGTTTGCTTTGGAAAGGGTAGTTAAATAAGTTAACTTGGGTTATTGTATCTCCGTTTGTCATACCTAACACATGGAGTTCAGCTAGATGTGAGTTAAATAAAGATCCTAGAAAATATGAGCTGGGGTTATGATGGGTTCTCGAATAATTTCTGAGTTGATCTGAAATCCCATATTAATTTCACTTCACTGCCACTGACTTCAGTTACAAGTATTACCATAAATTTGTTTTGATGATGCTGTTCTGATCAACCAGGAATAAATGAAATGAGAAATCCGACATTTTTCTGTATTCTGCACTATTGGCTCCCTATGAATTAGTGATGGCATGGGAATGCTACTAAAGTAAGAAAGCTTCTTTGGTTGTATTGGCTTGAGGAATGTTGCTTACACATTTATCTCTGTTTTTTTCTTTTTCTTCTGATAAGTTGGTTTTAATTGCTGGAGATGTGAGGTTTATAAAGTTCCTTCCATGTTGAACTTGTTGTTTTGGCCCATTTGTGCCATTCTGAAGTTCGAACATAAACGGATGCTATACGATAAATGCATGCTTGGATTCTGCTTCGAGTCTTGACCTTTTTTTGTTTTTTTGTTTTTGTTTTTGTTTTTCTGCTCCCTAGTTTATTTTACAATATAGTTAGTCTGGGACCTTTGGATATTTAGGTAAGTAAAACTCTTAGTACTTGTATTGGTCTCTCTCTATACTTTTCTTCTTATGTTATTTGGAGTTAAAAACTGTTTGGGATTTATTTCACCTCATTCTTAACCTCAAGTGATAGTATACTTCTAGTACACCCCTTGATCCAAGGCTCAATCTTTTTATAGTTATCTAAGTTTCTATGGATGTCTTGTTACAATGTATGCATCGGAAAGCCAATTATTTGCATAAATTGCGTTCCATCTGAATCTTAAGTGAGAGTATGTCCCCATATTGTAAGTACCAATGTTGATAAAATCTCAGTCTTTGTACAGCGATATGATTTTCTATCGAGATCTTGTTATATTGTATGGCTAAGCAAGCTGCTCTACATTCCCACTTAGGAGGTTTTTGGGAGTGGGTCTGAATGCATCTGTTACTGCCTTCATTGTCACTCTACTATTTTCCTGTTTCTTTGGTTATCAGTACAAGACAATCATAAAAAAAGTTATGAAACAATCTTTATGGTTATGAAAAAGCTGTAGACTGTTGGTTCTTAGTTCTTTAACTGCCTGGGACTTCAGCGTTCTGTTTCTTTCTAGAAATGGTGAACTGATTCTTTTTCTTTCTCTAGGTATTCCTATGTGCATCCTTTATAGTCTTATGTTACATGATTTAATTTAGGGTTGCGTAATTCTATCTTGGATTCTTGCATCTGTATTGAAATGCTTATGTTAGAGCCCTGCATGAGTAGCTCTATAACTCTAGTCAATGTCATATCTTTGTACAATATCTTCACATTGACATCCCGTGAATGTTGATGCAGCGATTCGTGTGGCCATTCAATGGTATCAAAGTCATTTTGGTGACTGTACACGAGTCTTACTTCTAACCAATGATCGGGAAAATAAGAGAAAGGCAGCAGAAGAGGGTATCTTTGTTGAAACAGGTAAGATATAGAGTTTTTTGATATGCCTTTTTGGCATTTTGAACCATGTTTTGATCTTCTTCTACTTTCTATTCCAGAACTTCATTTGGTCTACAAGGCAGAATGATGGTTTCTATCTTCTAACCTTTTGCTAACAAACGCTGTTATGATTCTGCATAAACACTCTCTTTCTGTAGAACATTATTTTGAATTGAATTCTAAGCTCTATTGCGTGCTTCTTTCCTTATGTCAGTTGAAGCATATGTAAAATCACTAGGTCAACCAGATTTACTTGATCTGGTTGTTCAGTCCACCTCTGAAGATGTGGATATGGGTGAAGTTGAAGATGTGAGGCCATCTAAGAGGAAATTTATTTATAATGAGGTATATTGTGCTTTTGGGTGTTGTTATTTACTAATCACTATATGTGTGTGTGTGTATATACCATGCATAACATGCACTGATCTGCTTTTGAATTTGAGATGCAGCATAAGCCAATGTCGGAAATTACGTCAGGTCTAAATCGTGGGATTTATCATCAAGGAAAACTTCGAGTCAATCGTTACAATCCATTTGAAGCATATGTTGGAAGTGAGAGCATTGGTGATGAGATTATAATTTATGGTCGGATTAACATGAATAGGGCTTTTGATGGGGACATCGTTGCTGCGGAGCTACTCCCACAAGACCAGTGGCATGAAGGAAAGAATATAAGTATAGCAGAGGATGGTATGGAATGACATTTAGTCTAGTTTGGCTGGATTCTTGCATCTGTTCTGTTGAATAATCACATATAATTTTGAGTTTCTTGTAATGTTCTAGAGGATGAGGAGGAAGAAGATGTTCATTTGGTTCCTAGTAGTGCTGATGATGCTCCACGTAATGCAAATCCTGACGAGGCTAGTGCTGAAGTTGTGAATCCTGTTTCCCGTCGCCCTTCAGGGCGTGTTATCGGTATCATCAAACGCAATTGGCATGCGTAAGTTGAAGGACAACTTTGTTCTTCTCTTGTCATTCCATTGCTGTCATCTTGAGAAACGACTTTGCTTTTTATGGTGTCCTATTATTCTCTTTGTTATTTGCACTTTTAACACATTTTTAAGTTCTACTGTTAGATTATGTGAAGTTTCATATGTATTTTGTTTTATAGGAACTTATTAGGTTAGAGGACTATCCCTAAAAAAATAAAAAAAGAGCAAGGTAGCCATCCATCTGGTGAACCATTAATATTGCCAAGTCTATTTGACCTACTTCATAAGAGCCTTTGTGTGCATTTGTATATACCAAAAAACCCTAAATCAGAACTTTTAAATTTTCTCATTTTCAGAATAATGAAAAGGTATCTTATGATCCAAATATCTATGGTCAAAACTCATAAGGAGTTTCCACCATCCAATCAATGGATGGATGGTAGTGGCGAGAGAGTGGAACTTGCCACTTGGTTGTGATATTGTATTCTGATGGGTTCCACTTTCTCTCCATCATTGTGCATCCACTGACTTAATGGGATAGATGCAGGGAGCTTGGTTGAAAGGTGGCTATCCCCCCTCCCCCGGAATCTCTCTGGTAATCCTAGAGCCAGATACTGAGCAGAATTCACTCCCCTCAGCAAGAGTTTTCTATCCCCATCTTATGGGGACCTCAAAACTTTATCTTATAGGGATCTTGATCCTTATGGAATGGGGATCATGACCCCACGGAAAATAGGATGGTTTGAAGTCGGCAAGAGTTTTCTATCCCCATCTTATAATGACCTCAAAACTTTACCTTATGGGGATCTCATGGAATGGGGATCATGACACCACAGAAAATAGGATCTTGTTGTTGGTTTGAAGGGATCTCGATCCTGGGGGAGTTTTAAAGTTTTTCAATTTTGGACCCGATGTCTTTGATTTCAATCTGATTTTTTACATTTGATGATTTTCTAGCTAGCAACAGCCTGTTTATGATATGTTATGTTTTCTTGTGTTGTGGTTTGCATAGTGATTGAAAACCAGCGAGTCAACTTGGAATCGTCCACGTTAGCTTGGACCTTTGGGGGTGGTGTGTGGGGCTAGCCTTGTATGGTCCCAAATTGGTGACTTCTCGGATTGTCTAGAATTTGGCTGTTCACTGTAGTGAATTCCCAAGTCTTTGCCTAGTTCATTTTAGAGACTCGGGCAATTCTTGAGTTTGGATCTTATTATGGCCCTAGAATCTCACTTATTATGCCCTTGTTAAAAAAATCTCACTTTTTTCCAATGTTTTAAAAAACGGTCCACCTAGCGCCTAGGCGGTCTGGACGAAAAATCCGCCGGCCTCGACCTAGGCGGCCATACATGAGCGGATGTACCTGGGCTTTTTCACCTAGTTGGGTGCAGTCCCCTGGGCGCCTAAGGACAGCCCGCCTAGTTGGTCCACCTAGGCTTGAGCGGTGCGCCCAGTACCCCAAATCCCTCCTAGGCGGCCGCCTAGGGGCTGGGCGGACCACTTTTTGTATCGATGTTTATGAGTATGGATAATGCTAGAAAAATAGGTTATTCATTAAAAATAACTTCTATACACACACACACGCACATACACACTCATCCCAAGGGCGCCCATATATTTATAGTTCATATCATATTGCACCTTGAAAACCAGTCTCACGAGCTCTCTAGATAGGGAGCTTAAGCCATGGTTCAATCCCAGGCTCCTGCTCCCTATTCTTCTCCTGTTCCCATCAAATATATTCAGTGGTGTTGCACTTATTACCGTTGATTTTGTGGTCATGTGAATCATCATATAATTTCCAAAAAATAAACAACTGGTCCAACTAGTACAATCATCAGTAACTGAAAAGACCTCATCAGATCCTTTTCATGTTCGATTTTGATATCCATTCTGGTTCTGATAATGCATACACATCCCTGGGCATGCATATATGTATGCATATGTTGTCTTATGATCATACATTGCAAATTTTATAGTATGTACCTGGATCAAGTAGGGTGGCTCTAAATTGCTTGGGTTGCTATTCTCTTTTAAGTAGTATCAAGTATCAACGAGCTTGACTGTGTCTACCTTCAACATTGCCTTATTACAGCTCCTTGCCACCATGTAAGCACGGACGTTCACTCGGTAAATCTCCTCGCTGAGTGGATCGCTGTTATTACCAAATGAGTTCAAACTGTTATTGATTGAGCTTCTATCTAATTTTGTTTCCTTGTGCTGGATACATTCTTTAATGATGGTTGATTAGATGTTGATAACTGAGAAAGTGAGTCTGAGCAAATGATTGAAATATCATTTTCCCATAAGGAGGGACTGCCGTTTAGGTATTGTTCATGTGGTAGGTAACTTGGTGGCCTGATTAGAGGTGTGATTAGGTGCTATGTAACGTAGTGGCATTTTTGGGAAGGGTGGCACCAAAGAGATCTTATTTTTATCTATTACCTTTTGGTGTGGGAAATCTGGTGGAGCATTTTTTAGTGAAGACTCACGAAATGTATAGGAGTGATAGAGATATACAGTGCACTGGGGCTTGGTTCTCTGTATGTTTGTGCACATTCATTTTTTGGGTTTATCTCATAATACTATTAGATTCTCCTAGGAGTAGTTAAGAATCGATGTTCTCATTATGGTATGCTGATGCATGATTGAGAGGGTATACTCTTCCTACAAGAAGATTTGTGATGTGCCTGTTGATGCTTGCGGTGCCTTATGCCTTGACAAGTGATTGGAGAAATTTGATTCTGTCTAGGTTGGACCTAATCCATGTCTCTCATGATTGGAAGGACATCCATACGAGATGATGGAGACGTTAATTTAATACCAATCTTATTGATCTCTAAAGAACCTGTCAAAGTTCCCTCCCATTTTCATGTTGGAGCTTGTTTTCGGTATCTTATCGGAGTGTGTTAATACTTTTTAGGTATAGGCATGCCATCATATCTAGGAAGCTGAAATTCATCCATTTCAAGTGAAAGCCAACCTTGGGTTTCAACTCTTCTGCTTTACCTCTAATTGTTTTTCTTTCTTTCTTTGTTTTTTGGACGTTAACTTGGGATTGGTGAACCATAGATGTCACATTGTGGCACCTGCCACTCTGACCATCTTTGCCAGGAGACGGTTCCTCATTTCTACTTGAATATTCTTAGATAAAATCTAATTTGAGGTTGTCAATGAATGAAGAAAAGCCTATGTGAGGTTTTGGAATGAGAAAAAGCAAGGATGAGAGTGAGGCAAAGGGATATGTTATTTTACCAACAATCAACATTTGAAGAAAAATCTGAGTTTAAGATTCCTTACATATATATATATATATATATTTTTTTTTTTTCTTTTCTGCTTTGTCCAGATATAACCTCTTTGGCTAGATCAAAGTTTTCTTGCTAGAGGTTTCTTTAATAATTTGAATGTAGATAAATGAGAAAGGATTCTGCAAGTCATTCTCTTATATTGTTAGATGATAAGCTTGACTTTTTGTATCCAGCCTCTGATTAGTGATGGTGGCCAGGTTTTTGTTGTTTTGTTCTTCTTGTGGCTGGTTTTGGTGTTATTAATGTGCTTTTCATTTTATATTTTTTGTAGTTACTGTGGGAGTTTGGATCCAATGCCCATGCCTGCAGGCAATGCTGGCATTGCCCATGCTTTATTTGTTTCAAAGGATCGCAGGATTCCTAAAATTCGGATCCAAACTCGACAACTTGGTAATCTTTTAGACAAAAGAATCATTGTTTCTGTTGATTCATGGGATCGCACATCTCGTTATCCTTCTGGTCACTATGTAAGGACTATTGGGGACATTGGCGACCGTGACACTGAAAGTGAGGCAAGTCACATACCCCTTATCTTTTTTCTTCATTTTTAGACTTAATGCTATGTATCTATTTTACCATAATTTTCCTTTGCTTTCATCTGTTTAGTTTTTACTTTTCCAAGTCTTGTGCTTGCCTCATGTTCTTTGAAGTTCTTATCCGGGTCATCTGCTTCCTATATCATATCATCTTCCAAAGATGGAATGAATTGGTGAGATCAATGACTCATAATATTTGTAATTTGTTTTCTCCATTTATCATTTGTGAATGTGCTACAGGTGGTGTTGATTGAGAATGACATTAATAATCGGCCATTCTCTACCCAAGTATTGTCTTGCTTGCCACCATTGCCATGGACATTGTCTTCTGAAGATCTGGAAAATCCAAATAGAGATGATTTGCGGCATGTGCGAGTTTTTAGTGTTGACCCGCCAGGTTTGCTGGTTTCCATTTTCTCCCTAGTCAACTTGTTGACCAACTTTTTATATATTCTCTGCATAATTTTTTAATACAGTTGCATTATTTATGCTCAAGTAATGATGCCAATAACAATGCAGGGTGTAAGGATATTGATGATGCATTGCACTGCACTGCTCTTCCAAATGGAAATTTCGAAGTAGGAGTGCGTATCCTTTATTTTGATTATGGCGTTTTCATGTCCATGCCTAATAGATAGCTAGCTGTTTAAGTGTCATTAACTCATATATTAAGATTTGTGTCATTTACAGGATGTATGTATGTGCATGCGTCAGTGTGTGCATGCATGTGTGCGTGCTTGAGTGTGTATCTCACACACTTCCATTTTGTCTCATTTTCATAATTGCTTCAATGAAACACGTATACTTGTCCGTTTTCTTGGTGTATGAACACTGAATCGAATCTTATGGCCTTTTTAACATAATTGAGGGGGGCGAATTTGTCCATCTATATTAAGAACCTGAAGGGGAACAAATAACAGCCCCATTGTCATGGTATACTGCACTGTATTGTTAGGATATTATATTTAATAAATATTTGGGTTTGCATTCAATGAACACTTTTTAGCGACTTTGAGCGAGGGAAGGACACACCGCAGCTGTTCTTTATTACATCAGACAACTGGAGTGATGCCGAACAACTGTTAGAAACTTAAATGTGCATATACAATCCTTCTCCCAAATACTATACATGCTGTACATAAATAATTTATGAAAAGGGAGTGGTGGACCCATCTACTTGAGTAACTGCAGGGCGGGGGTTCATTTCTTCCTTTTGATAGATAACAGTCAGATAGTATTTGTAAGTTTATGGATCATGATAATATGTTCATAGTAAATGTTTAGTATCAGAAGTCATAGTGCTTGTGAGATGCTTTTGTAAACATATGATATATTAATGTATTGTTGTCAGTTCCAAAAAAAATCAAAAGTCATAGTAAATTATATTAGATACCATAATAAATAATAGATTCTAAACTATGAGGTACGGAAGAATATATAAATATTTATTTTATAACACATACTATATTGTTATGGGTGCCAAATGGCTTAATGAATAAGATCAATTATAATAATAGTAATAAACAGTGTTTGAAAAGTCGGCGAGTCGAACTGGACTTGCCCGGTTCGACTCGGGAATTGACAACCCTGTGCCGGTTCTAGCATAATGTACGAAACCGCCCGTGTCTAGAGAGAACCGGGAGGGTTTTAAACAGTGAACCGCCTGATGACGTCCCCAAGACATAAAAAACCGGCGGTTCTGACGTTACCACTCCAATTCTACACGGAAGACATCACACGCATGCGCAGCATCACGTGTACATGTGTGGCAAAATCACACGGCAGATATCACATGTTGGGTTGCCTCAGTGATTCGCGCGCATGCTTTACATTATATTACATAGTTAATTATATAGCAAAGTTGAATACCCATCCTTCGATATGAGATAATTCCTAAACATCATTAAATGAAGACGAAACTTAAATATATGCTATTTATAGGCAGCATATTATCACATGCGGCGAGTAGGCGTGATGGTTATGACTTCCGCTCTTTTCCTTGACGTCCCAAGGTCGAATCCCCTTGGGCGTTGCATATTATATTAACTTTTGTTGTTTGTTGCATAGCGGTTAATTTTGTTGGGCGTTGCATATTATATTAATTTTTGTTGTATAGCGGTTAATTTTTGTTGTATATAGCGGTATAATTATTTTTGTTGTAAATAATATAAAAGGCATAAAAAAATGAAAAATAAAAAGTTTATTCTATTTGAAATCTCTCTCTTTCAACTAACAATATCTTTCACTAAATTTATTCTAGAAACCTAAAAAAATTAAATTTTTGAAAAATAAAAGTGTTATTTCGAAAATCTGTATGCATTTTATTAATTTTTACATTGATAACTAAATATTTTATTTTATTTATTAATTTTTACATTATAAATAATGTAATGTACTATTTTATTTACAGTTGTCAATAATAAATTTTAAATTAGATAATATTATAAAATAATTGTGAATTTATAAGTAAAATAATTATAAAATGTAAATTAATAATTATAATTTCAGTATATAATATTATAATTAGTTAGGTTGTAATAATTTTGGATTATAGTTAGCAGGGTTTTTCGCCAAAACGAGATTTTAGTGGCCATTCTTTCATTGATTTAGTCTACTCTTTATTATAGTCCATGTATAATTATATATTTTATCCATGATAATTCTATGATTTTTCTTTTATGTGATGTAAATTTAATGGTTAACATAAGTTTATACAGGGAAGGAGCATCTCAATATTTACAAATTGATGAAAAAAATGAAAGTCAATAATGTAGTACCCTCATTTCTTATTGGATTCCTAAAAGAGAACATTTATAATGAATTTTAATATTTTTTTTGGAAGTTTTTTAAAGCTTAATCCGACTGATTCAACCGATTCCTGATCCGGATCGCGGATTCACCGATCCGGATGGGTTTTTGGAGTGCCCGATCCGGGGCACCAATCCATTTTTTAAACCATTGGTAATAAATATAAAGGGACAGATTCAACATCTTTCACCTTTTAATCATCCACCTCTGTTTTTATTCTGCCACCAATTCCTATTCTGCCACCAATTCCAAAGGGGTGGTGTTCCTGGTATCGCCAACCTATGTTGAGTGGATTATTAAGAACTTGAGTGGTTGAATCACTTCTCTAAAAGTAAGTAATAGCTTTCTTATGCAAGGGCAATAAATAAACAAGAGTAGGTAAAAAAAAACTATGGAAAAGAATACCGAACATCCAAGAACTAATGTGAAACTGAGATGCTGAGGTGGTAACTAGTTCATCATCAACATGTAGCCAGACATGGAATGCGAAATGTCACAACCGTCTCCGCATTGGCCAAGCGATCAGTTTCCTCATTGGCATGGCAGGGGACATGAGCAAGGAGAAGTGGTTCAGCTCAGTGTTTGACCACTCGGTCTGAGTTTGGAGTACTCGGGCTTGCCACCCTGACGAGCCTGACTTTCCCCGAGTTGGGTGTCCCACTTGGAGATATTAGAAAAAAAAAAAGAAATTTATGTGATATGTTTTTTTGTGTTTTCCATCTTTTTGGCCAAGATTAGAAATCATTTAATCCAAAAAAGATGTGTTTTACTTAATCTTAATTTAAACAGATATTTCCTATTTTTTTTGGAATTTTTTTGTATTATTTACATTTTTTAACATTTTATTGCTGCTACAGTATTCTTGGGTCGAGTACTCGGATCGGGCATGGGTCGAGTACTCGGCCCAAGTAGTGGTTTCCAACACTGCTTCAGCTAGGCAATCTCTGTTGCACTCTGCTCCTTGGTTTTGCACTGATGAATCCATGCTATTGTGGTGATATTTCCTGGCTTTACTTTTACAATACTGAATGTTGTCCGTGGAAGACTTATGTACCTTGGAAATGCGTAAGGAATTAATCTTCTTCAACAGTTCAACTTTTTTTATGTTCCTGAATTCTGAACAGGTTTCCCTTAACAAGGTTATTGCCTACTTCACTGTGCATGTAACTTTCTTTCCTAGCAAGCTGGTATGCTTTCTTGAATTCAGCTGAAGAAATATTTTTGAGTTGGAGTTTATCTGTTTCTTTTCACTTTAAAATGGTTCTTGAGTTTTAGGTTTTGGTTGAATGAGGTTATGTATTAGCAATTTGTATTGTCAAAAGCTGCTGTCTATTTTTGTTAGGATCCCCTGGTTTGAGCATCAAAGATGTGAGATCTTGACTACGATATAATCAGATATTGCTGATGTTACCAATTTTGTCCATCCTGGAACCCCACTAGATGAAGAAGCCTCTGAAAGGGGCACTTCTGTTTATCTTGTTGAACGTAGAATTGACATGCTTCCAAAGCCTCTGACAGAAGGTAACACTGTTCTCTTCATTGATTTGTATAGTCATTACATGGTGCTTGAAAAACCGATCAAGAAAAAGTGGAAAACAATGAACAGAAAAACTGAATGCAATGGATTTGAAGGAATTCGATGTAGAACTGTGATTCTGAATCTTCTCCACCATATTTTTCTTTGCAGATATCTGCTCTCTTCGGTCTGATGTTGAAAGGCTGGCCTTTTCTGTTATATGGGTAAGAGCTCTAAACCTTGTCGAATATCGGGAGCATGTGCTTTACCAAGGGATATATAGTTAACAGGGTACAGATATTTTCTTTTTTTGTTCTTTGGTGACCCTAGTTTTTATCTTCTTTATCGATATAAAATTTCTGGCTGAGTAGGGTAATATTTTGTCTGTAGCTAATTTTAGATATCTTTCTCTTCATGCTTTTCGCAACTCCTGCTCGAGCATCAATATAATCAGATTCAGTGTTAGAGGGAATCACTTTATTACTATGCATACTTAAAGGATGACTTGACTCCCAGTTGAAATGTAGTCTATATTAATGTTGTTAAGATTGACCCTGCTTCGAAAAACTAGTTCTAGGTTAGCTAACTTGTCAACGAGGCTGTTGACCTTTATATGGGCATCACAGACATCAACATTATCCACAGCCTCCTACCTCAACATATACTCTTTAGACGGACCTGTACACACACACATGTACATGTTGCATACAAAGTTATATCAGAGAGACATATTCAGGTAATTCGGTGCAATCTACTGCAAATTATAGTTACTATTGTTTAGCATCTTATGCAGGTACAATCTACTGCAAATAGTTACTATTGTTTAGCATCTTATGCAGTTTTTCCGTTGTAGCATGCAGATACACAGACACATCTTGTATTAAGATACATCCAAGGGTGAATAACTGTCTTAGAACGTTTAGTCCTTTATGTTATGATAATTGGATTTGATGTCGAAATATTGAAATAAAAAAGTGTTGGTACAGTTTATTCTTGTTGATCCTGCCTAATTGGTCAAAATGCTGACTATTTTAAATTGAAGAACAAAAGAGAGAAAAATGGGATTGAGAGCTGGCAAATGGGAAAAAAATAACCAATTTATCTGGTAAGGTATGCATTGCCAACCTCACACACCAATCTACCAGCCATCTCCTCAACTTCAGAACATCTGTGGTCTTTTACCCCTTTTCAAGTTCGTCACCTGAAAAACAGATGTATTGCATAAATATTAGAGTGGCATCATTGAACTGGAGATGAAAGGCCAATAGCCCCCTTAACTGCCTTGTATAAAAGGTAGCTGAAAAACTCCATGAGCCTTGGCGCGACCTCTGAAACTGATAAAGAAACCGCTATGAAACTCATTAACCATTATGAAGAAAGAACCTCAGAAGCCATAATCTACCTGATCCGCTGTAGCAAATTATCCATAAAATACACTGCTCATATGGTTGAAATCAGTGATTGAAAACTCAGACTTCAACCTGGAGCTGCACAGGGCCCAAGCACAAGTTACCTGACTGACTTGGCCGAATCTCCACAGTGGCTCGGCCTAGGTCTCTTTCAAGATTACACAGCAGGATCCTGGAAGGTGAGTCCAGAGGTTTTGGACTCTGAACTGGCATTCTCCTGGTCCTAGTGACTTGGAGAGTCCAAGCTGGAGTCACCGAGTTTTCAATCACTAGTTGAAATCCTTTCACATGTAGTTCCTGTGCTACATTCCCCTATACCTCAATTCCAACTATTGGGCAAGCAGAAGGCCATCTAGAATCTACTGGCCTGTTACACAGAGGTGCTTTACAGAGAGGTACCTTATTAGCTAGGTGCACCATTTGAGAAGTAATGAATGTTATGAATCATAACGAGAACACAAAGTCAGGAAGCAGGTTTGATTAATTTAGAAGTTGGGTAACTTCGTTGTTAGAATGTTCCAAGTGTTTAGTTTCATGTGTTGGGAATAAATGAATGAATCTTATGAAAATTATGCTTTTGATTTCTGAGTTTCCGAGAAAAATACGTATGTGCAATATATATCTTTAAACTTTACTGCTTGTTTCTGCCGTTAGTTTTTCACATTTTGGCGTTCAGTGCGTCTACTTTTAGTGGGCTCACGAATAGTTTGTCTTCTGTTTAGATTCCTTGACATTTGCTTACACTTTCAGGAATTGACACCTGAAGCTGAAATCATTTCTGTAAGATATACCAAAAGTGTTATCAAGTCTTGTGCTGCATTGTCCTACGTAGAAGCACAAGCTAGAATGGATGATAGGTACCATCATCAGCCACTCTTCAAAATTTGTGATTGGATAAGAGATTTTGCTCCTTAAACTGTCATTTTCTGCATGAGCTAGTTATTGGTTTACCACTTTCTCAGCTTAGTTAAGGGATTGTGATTTGGCGGATGCATTGCATGTATTTGCTACATAAAATGTTTGTGCTTCCTACGCAGTGGCTTTTGAATACTGTAATGAATTATTTTTCTTGATCTGTGATAAATTAAAATGGTCAAATTTTATTGCTTGAAATTCTAGTTAAAACAAACATGGATAACTTATAACATGATCCATGGAATTGGGAGTCAGCTATTTGAAACCATGTAGCTCAGTATTTGGAATTTGGCTTGATCTCAGATATTCAATCTGTGACATTAGTTGTCCATTCATAGACTAGATATATCCAAACATAATATGGATCCTTGAAGTTAATCTTAAAAAGAAATCCAAAAGAAAGGATATGTGGAGGCAGATTTTCCTTTTAATTTTCGCTGTAAATCTCATTCTAGAGCTCAGGAAATGTGCTTGATTACATTTCTTTTTGGATGGTTAGGGAGGCTTGTTTTATTACTACAGGAATCTTTGGACTTTTTTGTGTATTTTGAGGCTCTCAAATGATCCCCATGTAGATTATATGTGCTCCTGGAGAAAAAGAGTGTCTCAAGTGTCAAAATTTGTACTTGCAATTTTCTAAGGGGTTTTGATGCTCTGTTTGTCAAACATGGTTTTCCCTTTTGAGTACTGTCTTCATGAATCATTTCTGTACATGAAAACTTCCTGTAATCCTGAGTTTTAAAGGTGATATTTATTGTGTCAAACAGTCAAACCCCATGGACTTGAAATCAAATTCGAGATGCTTCCATTGGTCATGGACAATATTTTGGGACATTGCTTGGATTTTGCTTGAGTTGATTCAACACAGGAGAATTCTGCTCTGTCAAGCCGATGTACGGAAAGTGAAAGAGACGTAGGTGAGTCTCTTGGGAACTTGATGAGTTCCTACAAGGCTTGTCTTAGTCTCTTAAGACTCATCGAGTCTCCAGACTTAGTCTGTGTTCATTTTTAGGGCTGAGGCTTTACGTATCAAAACCTTTTAATGAGTTTTTGGTCCGCATTAACCTTTACTTTTAGGGCTTGTGAATGGTGGCCTAGCTTATTGTAGGCCTTACTTTACTTTTTTATTTATTTTGACAATTTTTCGTATTTGTCAATTTCAATCATTTTTCTATTGTTTAAAATGAATATCTTAAGCTTGGATTAGTGTTGCTGAGTTGACCATGCTTGGGGTTCAAGCTGATATCGAGTTTTAAAATTTTTTGTGCTCATCTTCACCCAACTCAATGAATGATCCCGAAAGACTTTTCGTTTGGGTCCCTGTTTATAAGATACCTCTTCAGATATCTAGCAGAAATAGGCTTTTCTCCAAATCTGCTTCCCTATGTTTTTCATTTGTCATTGACGCGATGATGTAAAGAATCGTTTTCAAGCATTGGTTCTCTCTCTCTCTCTATATATATATGTATATATGTATTTATATCTCTATCTGTGTGTGTGTGTGTGTGTGTGTGTTTCATTTATGGTATTAAAGAATATCAGCCGATGCATTTTACATGGCTTTATTCAGTTTCAGACTTTAGAGGAGCATAATTCCACATTTGCAGTAAAGTTTTTCAAATGGTATACTGGTTTCTTATATTCTGTTTCAAGCTGTTATTCTTTCCTATCCTTTTCCTATTTCAATTTTCCTTATAATTATTGAATCATGAATTGTTCTGTGTTTCTTGTTTCATGTGTTCGAATTTATCTTTGGGGGTGCTGTTTTGTTGTTTGTTTTGGTTGGCCTAAACATGTCTTCTTTTTTCCAAGTTAGTGCTAACATTTTAAATGTGGGGCCTCATGTCTTGGATGAAAGAGTTCCATGCCGGATAACCTTGCTTCTTTTAATGCGCGTCTTCTCTTTCTACGTGCATTGACATGTTTTCTTGCATAACTGCAGTCGCCTGATTGATCCTCTGACTGTTGATCTTCGTAATCTTAATTCATTGGCTAAGGTACTGCCGTATTCTTATCTTTTTTCTCATCTCGAAGCATAGACATCTTTAGAATGACGTATATTGTGCTTCCAAGTGATCTGATTATTCTATATTTGCAGATTATGAGAAGTAGACGTATTGAGAGGGGTGCTTTGACCCTTGCTTCTGCAGAGGTTAAATTTCAGATTGATACAGAAACACACGATCCTCTTGATATTGGTAGGGTTCTATACATATCCATTTATACCTGATATTTCATAATTATTACTATTTGCTTGTGGTGTTAAACTTGATATATTTTGCAGGAATATATCAAATTCGGGAGGCTAATCAAATGATTGAGGAGTTCATGCTTGCTGCAAATGTTTCCGTTGCTGAAAAAATATTAAAACATTTCCCACTGTGCTCACTGCTAAGGTATCCATATTAGTTTCGCCCTCATGACCTTGTGACATCTTGTCTTTTACAGATAAAATTCTAGATGGACATGTAAAAGGTGGTGGATCAATTTCTTGTCCTTTGTTTCTAATTGTGATTAGTAGTATCTTGAAGTGTTGTAAAACTTGAAACTGGAGTACGTAACATATACATGTGCTTGTATTTTTAAAGTAATAAGCATAGACTAATGTAATGTTTCTGCATAGCTGCAACACCTGAATATCTAGAGTGGATATGTATTCTAGGGTAATACATTTGTGGTTAGGTGTTGTAAGCTTATTATCAGACTTCATTCTAGAAACAAGAAGATTTATGTGACCTGCTTGGGATCGTGTACAGGACCATGAGTTTTCTTGAGATTTTTTGTCATATGTGCTCCTCGCTGAGTGCCCAACATATTCCTATAGAGTTGTTAGCCAATCTATAAGATAGGCCTGGTATTACATTTTGTACGTATTACATTTTGTACTTTTAACAGATACTTTGCTGCATCTGGAAAGGATCCCCAAAGTGCATTCTGTTAAGCAGGATAGCACATTCACAGTGTACATTTTTGTCTGAGAGAAGCGTTCATCTACTTCTGCCTGTCCAGAAAGCATTCCATCATATATGCTATTTAATCTGTATACAACTTTAAACCTTATGTAATTTTCACATCCATATCAGTGTGTTGTGCATTGATTTTTCATTTGTTGCATATCATGAGATGCGATTACTGTACCTTTTCTGAATTATGCCTTATTTAACTTCATCGGAAAAATATTTTCTGAATTATGCTTTATCTAACTATATGGAAAAGGTCCTTTCTGTTTCCTGTCTTAATTAATTGGCATTTTTATTTTATTTAATGGCATCAAGCTACTTTTGTTATTTGCAAAAAAGTGCCAGAAGTTTCATTGCTAATGTGAGCCATCGACTTCAGGACAACTCCCAAAAGCTGTTTGACTATGTAGTAATAAATGTGCTTTAATCAATTAATAGATGTGCTTTAATCAATTAATAGATGTGCTTTCTCGTCATTCACAGTTCTAATTGGAATGGAACTTTGTAGTTGTGCTAGCTATTCAGCATTTTCGCTTTTTAGCCTTTGATGGCTCTTCCTTTGTCTAGTCATTTTTGTGATATACTGTTACAGTTTCTGTAATGATACTTCATAACTTAGTTGATGCATTTTCATGAAACTTGCGTCGTTGAACTTTTCCTTTATGTGTTGATCCTGGACAACCACTTTCAATTTTATCATTTTGGTACTCCAAGTAGTGGATTAAGCTGTTGTGGTTAATTAATCTTGTACCAGTGTTCAAGCTTCAAATTAGTTCTTTTGAACTTCTTTTTTGATGTTTCTGTCTTGTAGTGGTTTTCAAGTTGCCAATTAGTTTTTTCTTTTTTACTTCTTTTAATATTTATGAACATTCTGTAATGTTTGGAGATTATTTATTTTTATTTTTTTGAGAGTTTTCAAAAAAAAATGTTTTTTGTTTTTTTTTTGAGTAAAGTTCACTGGATGTTTGTAGATTCTTATGTTTACTTCTATGCAGGCGCCATCCTAGTCCAACTGCTGAGATGCTTGAACCATTGTTACGGATAACAGCTTCAGTGGGCTTGAATCTGGATATCTCGTCTTCGAAGGCGCTAGCAGATTCACTTGATAGGGCTCAGGTAGGAGATAATGACAAAAGATAAAGGCATGTTTGTTTCGTGTGAAAAGAAATGTTTTTATGTGAAAGAGTTATCTCATGTGGTAGGCGTGGGAATATTTTCACACTAGTTGGTCCCATTGCATATTTTCACACCAATTGGCAGCTAATTGGTGTGACACATGAGGAAATTTTTTCAGGTGAAAATATTTCCCAGGAAATATTTTCACTTGAACCAAACTTGCCCTAAGAGTAATCTAGACATGTCGCCTTTGGAGAGCCTGACATGTAATGTAGTAGACACACGTGTCGACACGCAAGACGGGTATAGACATGGGAAATTCACGTCTGGAATTTTATTTTTTTGGATTCACAGATGTGGTGTGACTGCTTTGTGGACACGAGTCCACAGATTGGACAAACAAGACATGCATATCCATTTTGTGAGACACACGTGTCCGCTTTGTAATGACACACTCGTCCTCAGTATTGGATGCGCATGTCTATGATTTGTACATGTCTATTAGTTGGATTATGTTTTATTTTTTAAGTAAATTATATTATAAATACGTCAAAGTATTTTCACACAGATATGTATATATGTATGTATTTATGTATGTATATATGAGAGATTCTGTGAGCTGCCCAGCCTACGGAATAGTTGTAGGCTGGATGGCCTAGATTGCACAACCAATGGTTGGCGTTCACCAACAAGGGTAGGGGAATTCTGGTCATTTTTCTTTTATTATTATTTTTCTGGTGTGCCTAGGTGAGGCACAACTTTCCCCATAGTTTCAGGTCCATTGGATGTATAAAAATAATATAAAATTCAAAAGTGCCCATACGCGCTAGCTGTTGGATGGTGCCAAGAATATATCTGGGGCTGTCCGACCTACATTGTTCTGTAGGCATGGTGGCCTACAATCCCTTTTCCCACACACACACGTGCGGATGCACGACGCATGCTCAGATGTATATACACATGCGCATTTGCTTTGTTTGGGCATTTTGTACTGAACTCGGCAAAATATAAGTCAGTGAGTGAGATTATTTGAATCCAAGTCGATCTTGGATTCTTGAGTTAGTGCCTGTTTTTTCAGAAATGTACATGATCTTCTTTATAGAAAGAGAATACACTTGAGTCAGTGCCCTTGTAACACAAGGTATGATCTAGCTTGAGATACTGCATAGACATAGTGTGTTGTTCCTTTTCTCTTAACATTATTTAAGGGCTCCCACCTACCGCTATTTTATTCTTTGGATGGTACTCTCTTACAGAGTTTTGCTCAAATTATGTTACTGACATAAAGTATCCATGTCAGAGTGACGATCCATACTTCAACAAGCTGGTACGAATCTTAACAACCAGATGCATGACCCAGGTATTCCTTTCTAATTTATGAGTATTGATAGTCTATTCTTGATGTGAACTTCATTGTCTTGAAGTGATATAGTTTGTTAACATGTTGTTGTACATGTTTAGGCTGTTTATTTCTGCAGCGGGGACCTAACTCCTTCAGAATTTAATCACTATGGACTGGCGGCACCACTATATACGCACTTCACATCTCCTATCCGTCGGTATGCTGGTATGTACAATATTTCTCCATGGTCATGCTATAGAAAGATAAATGTGATTTAGTATTCTCAATTTCTCAATTTAGAAAGATAAATGTGATTTAGTATGCTGGTATGCCCAATATTTCTCCATGGTCATGCTGTAGAAAGATAAATGCTGTAGAAAGATAAATGTGATTTAGTATTTTCAGAAACTAAACCATTTGTGAACTACACTGCTTAGTATCTGCCACGTTTTACCAAAATTCCTTAAAGGTTCCACTACAATTGCATATTATCACTCAACTGACTCTATTAATGACATATAAAAAGCCTATACTGTATAATCTTGTCAAGAATGAAGTTGAGGTACCATGGAGGGGGTCCTGGTCTTTTAGACCAGCTTGCCATATGCAATCTCCCTTAGCAACACATGGGGACGATGTTAGACCCCCTGTATCAAAGGTCTTTAGATGTTGAAGTTTCATGATTCTTTCATTAAGCCAAGTGGCTGAACATGAGCTTCACAATTGTTTTATTATTTCTCTTCAACAGGTGCAATGAACAATCTTTTATCCCTAAGATACATTTTTCTCATTTTCCTGCATTTGACCTATTCATCATTTTCTCATGTTGTAGAGAAGATTTTTTTGTTCTTTAGTCTTTGATATTCAATGTCTTCTGCATTCTTTGTTGATTACACTTAGTTGTAGTCCTCAATTTGTCATGTTTGGAAATTAATGGTTAATTTGAGTCTTGTTTTGCAGATGTAATTGTCCATAGATTGCTTGCAGCAGCTCTAGGAATCATAAAGCTGCCACCAGTTTTCCAAGACAAGGCCCAGCTTACTAGTATTGCTGACAGTAAGAAATCTTGCATTAAACCTGCATTTCTTTTACCTTGTAGTTTTCTAAAATTTCTAAGAGTGTGGATTCTTCTTGTTTGTGCAGATCTGAATTACCGTCATCGAAATGCACAAATGGCTGGTAGGGCTTCTGTGGAGCTCCACACACACATTTATTTCAGGAAACGGTAAGAATCTTGGACATTTGGATTGGCTGACGCATTTCTTTCCTATTTAACCCTGGTGAAGCTGCATATGTGCCATGGGATTCAATATATAATGTGCCAAAATGCAATCAGTTCACAGAACTTTAGAAGAGAGAATAAGAAAAGAATAAAAAAGACCCATTCCTGTCTATGTAAACAACTCTGCCCCTGCAATGTGTTGTGTTTGTAAAAGTAGTGCAAATCTAGCTCACTGCAGGAAGTTCGGTTTGGGGAAAAGCAGGACGGTGTGTGTGTGTGTGTGTGTGAGAGAGAGAGAGAGAGAGAGAGAATTCTGCCTCCAGAGATAGATGATTTATTGTTTCGAACATGACGAGGCTGCAAGGAGATAATAATTTCACCCTGTATGTTTCCATTCTGGGGCACCTCATAACATCTCTCTGTACCTGATTGTGTTATTCTAAATATCATCATGAAGTTTTGTACTATGTTATGATTTGGTGGCACTTTCATGGCTTCCCCTCTTTTATGTTTTCTCTTAATCATTCGTAATAGAAGTCATCCCTGCTTTATGCATTGCAGGCCCACCAATGAAGAAGCCAGGATTGTGAAGATAAGATCCAATGGCTTCATCGTCTTTGTCCCCAAGTATGCTGGAAGCCTTTGCTTTTTTCTATCGTTACTCCTGATTTTGGATCTCAGTATCTGAGATACTTTGTTAACTAATTCCTTTTTTCTTCTTTTTGTACGAAGGTATGGCATAGAGGGTCCTGTGTACTTGTTGCGAAGGGAGGAGAAGAAAGGGGGGCAAGAGGAATGGGTTGTTGATGAGGTGAATCAGAAGGTAACAAAGCGAGACACAAGCGTGAGTTACAAAGTGTTGGAAACAGTGAGGATCCATATTGAAGTTGTGGAGCGCCAGGCAAACAGGCCCAAGCTTGAGCTCACCCTCCTAGACCTCTAGTCTTTTTGCGGTTTTTTTTTAAAAAATTTGTCTGCTGTAGAATATTTATTTTGAGCTTTAATGTTTTCGTCTTTCTTCTGTGTTCATTTATTTTGGTGGCCTTATATTTTGGTTATATTGTGATTATGCACGTGATGAAGGGACCCCTGGCCCTATGACCTCCCTTTCTGTAAAATCTCTCTCTCGCTCACACAACCATCCCATTGGTTCATACTTCATATACAGCTAGAAAATTATGGATTCCGTGGAAGCATAAAGTCCATTACTCCATTCATTCTTTTTGGGTAAAACCGTGTCATAGGAGTATTTCTAAGGACTCCAAATTTAGAAACCAGCATTAAAAAATAAAAAAAATATACACATGCTATATTTGCTTGAAAAGTTGATGTCTTTGACCGAAGGAATTGTTAAAAAACTGGAGGGTGTGCAAGAGTTATGTGCTTCCCCTCTAGCATAGAAGTTCTATCATCCTTTTTATTCAACCTTTCATTTTGAATGGGGGGGGGGGGGTTAAGATTGTCTCAATCACAGTGTCACGTCTTTATACTATTTTATTTTTTAATTTTTTTTTTTATAAATTATTTTGATACCAAATCTATTCATTTATTAAATTTTCATTGGCAAAAAATATAAAAAAATATTTTCAATAAAATAAAATGACTAAAATACCTTTGAAACTTTCAAGGGTTTTTTTGGTTATTATATTTTATTGAAAAATTATTTTTAATATTTTTTATAGGTGTGCCCCAATGAGAAGATGACACGTACCAAATTTCATATACATGTAATTTTTATGTAAAAAAACTAAAAGTAAACTATTATGAGATGTCGGATTTAAGATCAAATGATGATTCTCTTGATTAAAATTGGACGGTTGGATGGTAGGGGGAGGATAGAACTTCTATGCTATAGGGGAAACATAGAAACCTTTCTGGCATCTAACTTTAAAGTATCAAAATAAGTGTAACTTAAAACTTTGACCACTAATGTAATTTGGGTTAGGTTTGTATAAGGAGCCCACCTTATATCATATAAGTAAAGCGTACCTCTGAATTCTGCTGAAAGATATAGTTTTAATGCTGAAAATCTTATTGCTTTAAAATTTACTTTCAATTCTAATCATAAAATTTTAAAGTTAAAAAATGGTGTGGATCGAATAGATCTACGAACATTTTAAAATCTTGAAAACATACGATTTAAATAATTTGTTATAAGATGCATTATATGTAGGATTAATTTTTTTTTTCTCTTTATATTTATATATCTTGAGATTGAGACGATCAACATTTGGAACACTCTTCTGCTAGTTTTTTGAGGTGCACTTTATTTGAACAGTATAAGATTGCAACCTTATATAAACTTATGTAAAGTTTTTCCGTGTAATTTTGGTGTGGGAAATCTTTACTCTGACCTCAAAATCTCTTTTACCCCTAATTACAAATTTTAAAGCTAAAAAAAAAAATCTATAAATAGCATGTTTATAAACATTAGAAAATCCTGAAAATGGATGGTCGAGTTGGTGTATTACACAAGGGAAAAGTGTATGTAAAGCCGAGGCTCTAAACAATCAAATTAGAGCCTATCTCAAAAATTTCTATAGAAGGGGTTGTTTTGATTCCCACATATCCTTAAATTAATCATCTTGACATCAAGATGCATGGACATGAGAAAAAAATGAATTTCAAGTTGTATAAAGTGTATTTTGTAACTCATTTTTGGACTATCAATTTTCAAGATTTTAAAGCTTTCATAGATATGTCGATCAACACTGTTTTTGAAACTTTAAACTTTATAAATAATGATGAAAATATGTTTTAAGGTTATCACATAGATTTTTAGTATTGAAACCATATTTCTCGAGATTATTTAGAGGTAGGGTCTAATTTGATTGTTTAGAGCCTGGGCTCTATACAAACCGCACCCATTACATAATACGTTATTTTAAGCGAAAATTTTATATAGAGCTGAGGCTCTAAACAATCAAAATTGAGCCTACCTCAAAAATTTCACTAGAAGAGGTTGTTTTGAAGCCCTCAAATTGATCATCTCGGCATCAAGAAGCATGGGCATGAGAAAAAATAGATTTCAACTTTTGGAAATAGTATATTTTTGTGATGCTTTTTTGGATCGTCAATTTTCAAGATTTTCAAGTTTTTATAGATTTGTCGATCTACATTAATTTTGAAGCTTTAAACTTTGTAAATAAAGATGAAAATATATTTCAAAACTATCACAAAGATTTCCAATATTGAAACCCCATTTCTCAATGCTATTTGAAGGTAGGCTCTAATTGATTGTTTATACAAACCGCACTCTTATTTTAAACCCTTCAAATCTTCAATTTTTACAATTTGTGGTCGACATGCTGAATTGAAGGATTTTCTGGTGTGGGAACAACCTGTCGGTTGGTTTTTGAGATACATCTATCTTACTTTAATGGTATAGGATTTAACTATAATTTGATTGTTTAGTGCCTAGGCTCTATACAAACCGCACCCATACTAGGTCTGAAAAATCCCCCAATCACCTCTTCTGTCGAGAGATTAAGTGTATGGTGTTCTCTTTGGAGAGTGAGTTGTGCTGATAGTTATATACATTGCAAAGAATGGAACACAGCAGAGTGTCATAGATCTTTGGTTGTAACTTGATGATGAGCGAATTTGTTCCTTCGTTAAATCGTCAGCGGTCCAATCAGCTGATGGGTGGGTGGTGGAGAGAGCATGATGCGCCGCTGGTTTCATGTCATATGTGCCGTTAGGTCCAATCTTTCCATCACCCTTAATCATATTCTTGGACTGTGATGACCCAATGAACCAACTACTGTGTCCGACAGGTCAACATGGGTTACGTTCCTATGGATATATTTTGGTTTATATGTATATGGGAAAGTATAATCTATGCAATTATTTCCATACAATACGGGAATTCCCATCCTTTCTTGAAAATTGATGGCTTATATCTATCTACTCCCAAAATCTCAATTTTTTCATGATCTGAAACTTACAAATAAGTGAAGGTAAACGTGTTGGGTGAGTAGACTCACACTATTTTTGTGTGGTCTCCTTAAAAAAGAAATCTCAAAGATGTATTTTCCAACTGAAATTTTAGGGTTTGATAATCTCAACCATTACAATCATCCAATGGAATTTCTCTTTTTTAAAAAATATAAATCTAATTTTTCTGAATTTCTTTCTTCGACGCCCATTTTAACTTATAGCGGATGTAACATCTTTTTGATATCTATCTTAGATAACGAAAGATAGACAAGGGATCACAGGGTAGGGTAATGAGTGAGTCTGCTGACTCGTGTTCCATAAGTAAAAAACTGAATCTTTACGAGATGAAGAATGAATGATATAACCTCAAAATCGTTTCTTAATTTGAAACTTAAGAAATCTTTATAGTATGACGAATGAATGAATGCTATGAACATGGGAAACAACCCTTCTAACTCGACTTGTTGTTAGGAGGAGGGGGAGGGGAAGGGAAAAATTGAACTGATCCTTGCTGCAAATCTGACGTGATCAGAAGAGCTTGCTTCCAAACTCCTTTTGATCCTTGGAAGAGGAAAGCGAGGAGGCCAAGTTGCGCAGTGATGATACTCTGCGTGCTCCCTCTCTGCTGCAGCCTTGTCTAGGGAAGACGACAATGATTCCTCGAGCAACTGGTAGAAGCCGGCGTTGTTCCTGTACATCTCCAACCTGCCCACCGTGGCTGAAGCTGTTGACAACACGTGCCAAGGCACCAGCCACGACGCCACCCACGGTTGCTGAGCCCCCAAGTGCGGATCCCACCTTCACAGCAGCCATCAGGATGGGCCCGGCCACAGCCATCGCCCTGTTGCAGTTCAAAAGCAGTTTGCTGAGCCTCACGTACTCCGCCATGTCCCTCTCCCTCAGCACGCGTGTCACCGCTGCCATCTTAGCGCTCCAGCCATTATCAGTGACCTTCTCCTTCGTTTTGGTACTACGAGTAGTGCCTCTCTTGGGCCACCACGCTGCAGGCTTGACCTCGGAGGGGAACGTTTCGAGCATGCCGGGGAGAGCAGGGGCTCGGTGTATGCTTTGTCGACGGCCAACACTTGAGCCATGACGTCCTCAAGGAATCGAGAGAGCTCTGGGCGGAGAGAAGGGCGTTTGTTGGCTGAGAGTGAAGTGGATGCTCTTGAAGAGTCGGGCGGCGTTCCTCTGCTAAATGAGAGGGCTGGACCTTACTCATCACGAACACAAAGGCAGTGGCGGCCGAGAAGAGGAAGGCGGATGAGAGGGTGAGGGACAGGTGGGCGGTGTCAGAGCTTGGAAATGATATGAGGGCAGCCATGGTGGCGGCCGCAAGGGTGATCGAATTGGTGGAGTTGAGAAGAAGAATGTTCCAGTTATTCCTTTACTCCGCTAAATTTGCATGCATCTCCGCCTTATCGGAGACGACCTCAGCCACCGCCTGGAGTTTGGCCATGAGCACAGGATCCTCTTCTTTTCCCCGCGGAAACAGAAGCGTCCGATCTGAAAGTGGGGCGCTTCCCGGCTGCCTTGTGTTGGAAAAGTACTGATTGTTTTGGAGCTTGGAAGGAGAAGAGACAATCTTTGGAGTGTTGATTGGGAGCGATAATGAAGCTCTGACTATTGGGCCTGAAGCCTGAAGATGATCTGCAATGTAAAGAAGTGGGTAGGTTAACTGCACCAAACCTTGCTCCTGCCATGGCCAGGTTTTCTACAAGATTTGAAACGCCTAACTCTCTCTCTTTGAAGTTGAACTTAAAGAAGAGAGAGGCTAGTTGCAGCTGCAGTGAGAGACGGGGGTAGAGAATGGAATCCAAAAAAAGAAAAAAAAGAAAGGAGGAATCCTTACTTCGTACAGAGCATGTAGAGAGAAGGAGTGTGAGGGATATATATACATTTATAGAGCATGTAGAGAGGAGAGTGAGGGATATATGTACATTTATAGAGAGAGAGGGGATTTGTTGATGGTTTTGGAAATCGGATAGGGTCCAAGTCCAGGGTTTGAAAACTCGATCGAGTCGAGTACGGTCAAATTCGGCTCAGTCGAGTATGACCGTACTCACCTTGTTTGACTCGAGAATCGCCCGTGTCCAGAGAGAACACGGTGATTCCCAATAGTGAATCGTCAGTCTCACCGACATCTATTACACATAAATTTATAGAGAACAAATGGAAGCTCATCTTTTGATGTGGGATAATTCCCATAAAAATTCATTAAAGCAAGACAATTGAATGTATATTGTTATAGAAGCTAATAAAATTACATTAGGCGATGTGGCAGTGTTGGTTGACATCTCTGATTTTTTTGTGGGCGTCCCCTTAGCGCGCGCGTCCTTATTTTTCTTGTTAAAAAAATACAAAGTAATATAACAAATATTTCTTGCACAAAAATAAAACAAAAGGCACAAAAAAATAAAATGTACTTTGGCAGCATCATTTTTTTATTTTTCTTGTAAAAAAAATAAAAAGTAATACAACAAGCAAAAAAAAATTAAGTACAACGTCTTCTTCTTTTGTTAAAAAAAAAAAAGGAAGATAATCAACAAATATCGCATTTTTCTTATAAAAAAAATTAAAAGATAATACAATAAGTATTTCTTGTCAAAAAAATAAAAGGTATTTTTTAATACAACCTAGGAATAAATGGTCTAATTATATTTTTTATTTTTATAACATGATGGTCTTTACCATAAATTTAGTAATATTAATTTAAAGATAGGATGCAAACAATGAGGCCATTTGAAATCTCTCTTTTTACTAACAATCTTTT